CATCCTTATTGCAACTGCTCCTCACAAGTCCCAGCCCCCTCTGAGGTTCCCCTTCTTAAATACGTTACCACAGAGGCGCAGCTGGTGGGCTTGGCCCTGGCCAGAGGCGGGTCCCACTTGGAGCGGGGGAGTTTTCGAGAAGCTTCTCACAAGGGGTACCACTGTAGCCCCCTCCCCAGCTACCAAACACCATGCCACAGAAACCCAGCACAGTAGGGGAAACTACTTTTCAACTCTGGCAGAAATACTGATGCATACCTACAGTACAGAAGCATCACAAAATGAAGGAATGACGTATCTGTAATTCTACAAGATAAAAAGATGCTCAAAAGAATTCTCATTATGCACAGTTCACAATGTGAAGCTGGTTTCTTTTCCTGCTACTATGGTAGATCCACTGACTGACAGGTTTTCAGATCCAAGATGGCTGCTTTTGTCAGGTGACCCTGGATTAGATCGATGTCTTGTGAATGCTTCAGGAATAATCACATTATAGTACGCAGGATGGAGGAGCTGTTCTTTTCTAGTGCATGCCAATCTTGGTATTTTTTTTTTTATTTACATAATGAGATGTGGAACATTCACTGTTGCAAAATTAGACTTGTGCTAATAGCAAGTGAGTTCTGACTTGAAATGCCTTTCGTTGTTTTATGGTATATATTTGATAGAACTTCTTCAATAAGCATGAATGAATTGCTTTACAATATGGGAATACGGTAGTTAGTTAAGCAACATCTGCTGGGAACAAGATCTCATCTACCATGATCTGGCAGCTGAAGGTGTAATAGCGGCTCCTTTGTTTTCTTGCTACAGTATTTACCTGTTCAAGTGTTTGTACGTCTAAAAATGTCGCAGGCCCCATGTTGTTTGGGAACGGTATGCTAGAATGCTGCCTCCAGTCAGGTAGCCCAGAACTGCATTCTGCTTTGGGCTGGATTTGTCCATGAGAGCTGAATTTTTATCCTTGTTTGCTTCACCGGGAAAGCAGTGCAACACATTTGGCCGTGCCTCAAGGGAAGGACAGAAACAGAACTGCAGGCAAGTCACAGGACTGATCTAAAGAGTTGTGGCACAGCCCTGCAGAGGAGGTGGCCACAGGCCGTTTGCCTCCAGTTGACAACAAGGGCTCTTTAACTTGCCGTGGGGCAGATGGTGAACAGTCGCATGAACTTTTCCACCAGCTGAGCTGCGGGGTTGCAACAAGTAGCCCCCGGGCAGGAATATCTGCTAGTGACACTGCGGCTTCTCTAGGGAATGTCTCAGTGCAGCCCTGAACTAAATGCAGACGGAGCTGGTGATGTTTGCTCCTAATTTCAACAAATGCTGAATTCACTCAAGTTAGCTCGGCAAGCTGACAGCTTGTGTCAGTCATTCCAGCTCCCTGGAAAGTGAGGTTCAGCTCTCAAGAGGTATCTGAAAAGTTTTCCGACAAACCATGCTTTGTCTGGAAAAGAAAGATTGCTAAACAGTAAATATTCCATAGCAATGGATTGATTTTAATTTGTTTTATTTTGTTAGGATCCTGTCTTGGGTTTGTGTGTGGCAGGGTTCTGGTAGCGGGGGAGGGGGATATAGTGGTGGCCCCTGGAAGAAGCTTCTCAAAGCCTCCCCAGCTCCAAGGCGGACCCACCTCTGTCCAAGGCCAAGCCAATTAGCAACAGTGGCTGTGCCTCTGTGATAACGTACTTAAGAAGGGGAAACTGCAGTGGAGGAGGAGTTGCAAGGAAAATATCTCTGCAAGCACCAAGGTCAGTGGAAGAAAGGAAAAGGGGGGGGAGGATGGCCGGAGCAGAGACCTCCCTGCAGCCCGTGGTGAGAGGGCAGGCTGTGCCCTGCAGCCATGGACGTCACTGGTGGAGCAGATGCCGACCGGCAGCCCTTGGAGGGCCCCACGCCGGAGCAGGGAGCTGTGACCAAAGAAGGCCAGGACTCTGTGAGTGGCCCACGCTGGAGCAGTCCATTGCTGCGAGGATTGCAGCCCATGGGAGGGACCCACGGTGGAGCAGGGGAAGAGTGTGAGGAGGCCTCCCCCTGCAGAGGAAGGAGAGGCAGAAACAGCGGGTGATGACCTGAATGCAACCTCCATCCCCTGTCCCCCTGCACCACTGGTGGGGAGGAAGAAGAGAAATTGGGAGCAAAGTTGAGCCTGAGAAGAAGGGAGGGATGAGGGAAGGTGTTTTTAAGATGTGCTTATATATCTCACTGTCCTACTCTGTTTGATTGTTATCTTAAGTGTTAGCGGTGTTCTTTTTTTTCCCCTGAGTCTGTCTTTTGCCCGTAACTATAATGAGTCATCCCTCCCTGTCCTTATTTGGATCCCTAAGCCTTTTGCTTTATTTCCTCCTCTCCATCACTGAGGGGGGAAGGAGTGAGCAAGCAGCTGCATGGTGCTCAGTTGCCCTCTGGGGTCAAACCACAACAGATGCTTAAAACTGGGATGCGAGTTGTGACTTGAAATGACCCAAACCAAACTGCATACAAGCAAGCTTACTAGTTTAATAGGGCAACGCTTCCAGCTGAGACAAGCATTCATTAAGCTGACTCCTCAATCTGATTTGTGGTGTACTGACAGGCCATTCAGCCTTGTCATGCTGTTGGCTTGCCTGTAAGCTGTGACAAATTCAAAGACATACAGACCTCCAAAGGTGTTAAGCATACGGGTCTGCAAAGTAGGTGCCTCCAAGTATTACAGGAAATTAAAATTACATATTGTGCAAAATGACAGAGCTTGGTTTGGAATGGTTTTGGGGTGTTGAATTATGATGGCTTTACACACCATCACAATTAAACACAAGTAACATCTTATTCTGGCAATGCGATGAGCATGAACCGTGAAGAATCAATATAGTCTTATGGGTGTGACTGTGTTGGGATGTAGGAGACCTTAACTTTGCTCTGCTGTGCTCTGCATTGCTGTGTTGTGTGGAGTTGTTGCTGCTGCTCTGTTCTTCCTTGGGCTTGTCTTCCCCTCCATCAGCTGCTACAGCTGCACTGTTGCACATACAGCAAAGCAAGGTTTGACTACAAGGCAATCACTTTAAGCTATAAATATCTGTAGCCCCCCCCCCATTACATCTTAATTGGTAAAATGACCAAAGGAGAGCTGTGAAAGAATGCCAGGAATTGATAAAGGAACTGATGAAGCCGACAGAGTGAACCTGAAGAAGCAACACTGTAATTAAAACAAAGATATACTGAGATAAGCACAAGGGATGACACCATAAAACCATCAAGCAGGGAAATATCAAGATAAGCACACAGGAACAAAAGCTGTTAGTTGAACAAAGGAGAACAACTTGAACTATGAATGAGATTTCCTCATTAACATAGTAAAAACCCACCCTTGAGTTGGAAAAAGCCCCCTACCAACAAAAGTCCCTTTGTCACTGAACATGCACAGTTAAAAAAGAGGATATTGTGACTTTAAATGGAGACAAGATGTTGCAAGGACCAATGTGAGCGAAGGTGGCCAAATTTAACAGTAAAAAGTACTGATAACTGTCACTCGGGATGTATAAATGCTTACTGTGTATTAACACAGGTGTGCTAGCTTTGTGGAATTAGCACATAGCACCCATCTCTGTGAAGATATGGATTAAACAAATGTCTCAACTCTGTGTATTTTTGGCTTATTGCTCACCAGGTGAAAGTACCCAGATTTTTAGGGACAACACCCCCATTGAGCCCAGCGACACCTCCTGTATGGCAGCAGACTGCAAGGCAGTGATCTCCCTGTTGAACAGGGATCTCTCTCAAGGTCACTCATCAAACTTGAGAGACCTCTTACCTGGCATCTGATATCTATAATGACATAAGCAACATTTTACATTAGGCCTAAAAATATATTGTATGCTAGTGACATTTGTATATCCAGACACAGTATGATTATTAGAAGTGTAGTAAGAAGTAGAGCGTAACTGCTGCCTACATCGTTATTGAAAGTGCATTTAAAACACTGTGAAACCACAGTTTGGAACTTCTGGGCGATGTGGTGGTTGAAGGCTGTCTTGTGTATAGTGTTCATGAAATTATAGAGCTCCTTCCTTTCCTCATTGCCTCTGTTGACAGAAAATCCCCTGCTTGCCTGAGAGAGGACAGCAGCTCCCTCCTCTAAGGCATCAACTTCCATGCGGCAGGAAGGCCTCTCAGGAAGACACTTAATGCACACAGCGTAAGGCCACCTGTAGCTCGCCCAAAGAGCAGAGGGTTGTTCAGTCTGCCCAGCCACCCCACAGGATTTCCTTCACGCTTTGATCGCCTTATTTCTTGATTCAGGCTTCTAGCTTGCTGCCAACTTCTACAGAGCTCTTCAGCAGTTACTCTGCAACCAAATTCTGTCTCCTCCCTGCACAAGAGAGGGGCTTGCTGGTCTCCAACAGGTGGGAAATTCTTTCTGATAATGGACATTGCCCAGGTGCCTTGTTACACTCCAACAGAGCTCCATGTGAATTTGTTGCTCTCAGAGGTGTATGATGCGACTCAAGGCCTCAGGAACAGGTGCTGCTCTGGCTCACCTGAGCTCTGCGCAACATGTCCCTTACCAAGTGTTTACAACCTCTATGCAAAAAGGATTTATTGTCTTCTACTGCAAGAACGAAGACTTCAGCTGGTACAGCAGCAACCATGGTGGGCAACAGGAGCTGGAACTGGGGAAGGGCAATGCCCTTTGGCTACTACTGCAGCAGCACCATCTGCAGCAACCTTCATGTCACACCTCCAGAGGTGACTCTGAGGGGAACTTTTAAAGCAGAGGCGCTTTGCCGCTTGTGTGATCGAACTTTCCCCGGGGAAGCGGAGCAGGCTGCGGGGCCAGCGAGGCCCGAAGCCCACGGCCATGGCGCTGGGCAGCCGGCCAAGGCCAGCCCGCGAGGAGGGAGGTCTGGGGAAGGTGCTGCCGAGCCCCGGGGAGAAGACAACCCTGTGGGCCCAGCCCCTAACGCTGCCCCTCGGGAAAGGGAGGGGAGGCGAAAGCCGACAAAGGAGCGTGGAATCTCCCCGGGCAGAGATGAACGGCCAACTTTATTGTAACACTGGAGGGGGATCAGGGCCAGCAGGCAGGGCCGGCGCAGGGCTGGTCGCGCGTCAGCGTCCGGGCCGGCTGTAAGGGTTCTGGGCCCGACGTCGCAAGCGGGAACGGTCTCGCCCCCGCACGGGCCCGGGGTGGCTGGGGCGGCAGCTGCTCTGGAGCCGTGCAGAGCTGGGGGAGGACCCCGCTGGCAGCTGGCTGGCGGTGCTGGGGCTGCCGGTCTCGGGTACCGGGGAGCCACGGGAGCATCCCGGCACCGGCTGTGCGGGGCTGCTGCTCTCAGCCCTGGGTGCTGGCGCACAGCTCCTGCCACGGCCTCTTGTGCGCCGGCTGTAGGGCTTTTGGGCCCGACGCCGCGAGCGAGAGTGGTCTCGCAAGCGGTCGGGCCCAGGTGGGCTGGAGCAGCTGCTGCTCTCAGGCGCTGGGGAGCTTTGGGATGGCCCCGATGCCGCTTGGCCACCAGTGCTGCTGGGGCTGCTGTTCTCCCCTGCTGCAGAGTGAGAGGAGGACCCCAGTGCCGCTGTGCTGCCGGTGCTGGGGCTGCTGGTCTCTGGTGCTGGAGAGCTGTGGGACGGCCCCGATCCTGACTGGCTCTCAGCGATGGGACCCGCGACCTCCGAGCTGCCACTGGAGGCTGTAAGGGGAAGCAGGAAGGTCACGGGCACGGCCCCCCAGGCCCGCGGCAGGAGAGGCCAGAGTGGTGCCCCCAGCCCCCCTGGAGCAGAGGGGCTCTGCCAAGCCCAGAATGGGCACCCGCTGCCAGGCCTCACCCGGGGGCACCCGAGTGCTTTGCCTCTTACCGGTGCCCAGGCCAGCACAGCTGTCACACTCCCATATGGCCGTGTCGGTCCCCAAGTGGGAACAGCGTCTGTGGGTGCCCTCGGCAGCGCAGGAGCAGCACAGGAGCAGTTGCCAGGGCCTGGGGAAGCAAACGGGTGCGTGGCTGTGAGGACAAAGTGACCGCAGCACAGGATTGTCCGGCAGAGCTCTTGTTCTCCGTCCCTCCGCTTTGAGCCCTTGGTGAGACAGAGATCCTGGGCAGAGCCCAGGGTGCAGCTCGGGCAACTTACCCCTGTTGCTCTGCGTGCTGCCTGCCTCCTGTGCAAAGGCACTCACGGGCATCGCAGCGGCTGTGCCTCTCATTTGGTGCTGCATCTGCAGGCTCGTTCTCCCATGCCGGCAATCTGAAACACAAGGGAAAATTGCTGAGCCCCTGCTGCCCCGGCACAAGGCAGATGCAGGGCGCCCCTGCTCTTCCCCCCCTGCCCGCTTTCCGACTCCTGCGGGAAGCTGAAGCCCAGGCTGAGGGGAGAGGCCGGAGGGCCGGGAGCGCAGGGGCAGTCCCTGGCATGGCAGAGCGCTGGCACCCTCCTGTCTGGTGCGGCGGGCAGGACACCAACCTGAAAGGGACTCGGATGCCCATGGTGAGCATCTCCAGGAGAAATGCACACCTGTCTCTACAGAGAGGGCACTGGAAGCAAATGCCAGCGCGCGCAGCCTGTCCCTGCAGGGGAAACATGAGGAGCAGGCGTGAGGCCTTGGTGCTGCTGGGCGCCCACCGTGCCCCCCCATGGGCGAGAGAAGGGCTCCTACCTGGATGCAGGCCCTGTGGAACCAGGCGTGTTTGCACGCTGGGCACACCATGGTGCCGTAGGACTTCCTGTCCTCAACAGTGTCCAGGCAGATGAGGCAGGCGGTGTTCTCCCCCGGAGCCGCCTCCACTGCCTGCTCTGGGCGGTGCTGCCAGCAGAAGGACCTGGGGAGGCAAGAGGAAAGGGAAGGGTGAGGAGGTGGGAATGGCTGGGTCCTTCCCCGGTGGTGGCGAGAAGGGGAGAGGAGGTACCTGTACTGAGGAAGGAACTGTGTGACGCATTCCCCCTCCACGGCGCAGGGGAGGTGGAAGCTGCGGTCGCAGCCCTCCTGGCAGCAGGTGATGGTGGCCCCACTCTTGCCACAGACGAAGCAGCGCTGGAAAGAGCAGAGCAGCCCCCATCAGCGGCAGCCACAGGGCCTCCACAGCCAGCCCCACGCCTCCAGGCTGGGCGCAGGATGTGGCCCCACTGCTGGGTCAGAGCCCGCGGATGCGCCCGGCACACGAGGCTCCTGTGCTGGGTGGAGGCTCTGTGGAGCTGCTAGGCACGAGACTTTTGTCCCAGAGCTGCTTGGAAGGGCTGGGATTTCTTTCTTGGGGTCTGGGCTAAGCTCCCACACCGCTCCCGTGGCACCACAGATCTCCCTGAGCTTGTCCAGTCCTCACCTTCTGTGCTGCCCGCTCGACTGTATGGCAAATATCCTCTATGAGGAATCCCATCAGGCCCACGTTTTTGACCCGTTGCTGGAAGAGGCCGTTGGCAAAATACTGTGCAGGAGAGACGATATGAGGAGGTGATGAGGAGGAGAGCGTGGCCGGGACTGCCTGTCGGCAAGCTGGAGGGAGCCCCGGGGGCACTCACCAGGCAAAAGACATGGGCACAGATCCCTTGCAGATCCTGCAGTTTGTACCCACAGATGTCCGGGTCAGCCTCTGCTCGGCCACACAGCATGCATGCTGGAGGGGAGAGAGCAAATGACAGCGGGAATGAGCAGCTCATCTCTGCAGGGCCGGGGCAAGCGTCCCTGAGGGCTGGCCTTGCAGGCACGGGTGTCCCAGCAGCAGGTGCCCACGGCCCAGCCTGGGCCCCGCTGGCTGTGGCACGGAGGGGCCCTGCCCCGGGGCACTTGGGGAGCTCCTGCCTGCCCCTGCCACCGCTCTCGGCCCCACGCTGAGCGCCCCGACAGCTCCTCTGCTATGCTGCGGGAGGGATGCTTTGCTCTCACCTGGCTCCATCGAGTCGTCGACCTTCTGCTTCCTCGCAGACATGGTGCACATCAACGGTGAGCGCTGGGAGAGTCGCTGTCCCTGCAGCGCTGGGGTGTCTCTCCCAAGTGCTCCTCGGCTGACTCTGGGGGAGAAGCAGGGCGCGGGTCAGCTGGCAGCAGAGGCCCAGCGCCCCCAGGCATGGGGCCGCCCTCCTCCCTCGGCAGCCCTGCACGAGCCCCGTCCCCCCCTGCCCTCCCCTCACCTCACCAGGTTGCACTGAGGCACAGCCTGAGCCCAGCGATGATTTATGTAGGCTTGTCCCCCGCGGGTCACAATGGCCACAGTGACATCAGCAGGGTCCCCTTTAGCATTGACTGCTCGTTCCCAATGAGTGCTGGTTTTGCAAGGCAATCCCAAAAGCGGAACACGGGTTAAAACTCTTTCTCGAGGGACCTTTGGGCAGGGGGGCCAGACAGCAGAGCTGCCCGAGTCTCTGGAAAGTCTCTCTGAGCTCCTCCTGGGCAGAGGCAGCACTGGGAGGAAGCCCCAGGAGCTGTGGGAGGGAACAGCCAAGGGCATCCTAAAGGCTCTCCTGGAGGGCTGCAAAGGCAGAAGGGCCAAAGGTGGAGAAATGGGATGGATCTAGGTGGGGTGCTTGGAGAGGGAGCAGTGCTGCAACTGTGAAGAAAGCTGCAGCTTGTGGGAGGGAAAAGAGATCCCAGAAATAAGTCCACTGTTCATCTGGTGCCCTGGCCACCTCCCCAGAGCTGCCTTGGTCAGGCAAGGCAGACCCTGTGGTCCCACAGAGCCCACCTGCTCGCTGCCGGCCGCCCACTGACTGAGGAAGAAATGGGCGTAGGACAGTGCCGGTGGGGAATAAGCTCTTTCTCCAGGTTGCAGATCTGAGCACCTCCTCTGGGGTTCAGTCATTTTCTTGGAGCCGTTTCTACAACAGACAGAAGACATAACCAAGATGACAATGGGAAACTTGACTGGTGTCGAAACAAGATCTTGTCTTTATGCCCCTGACATCCTCCATTTCAGAGAAACATAGAATCATAAAATGGTCGGAAGGGAAATTCAAGACTGTCTAGTTCCAACCCCCTCCCATGGGCAGGGGCATCTTCCATTAGACCAGGTTGCTCAAGGCCCCATCCAACCTGGCTTTGAACACTTCCAGGGAGGGGGCAGCCACAACTTTACTGGGCAACCTCTTCCAGTGAAGGGGTAAAGGGAGTCTCATAGGTTGAGATAAAAACAGTTTAGTAACTGTAATAAAATGAAACAATAACAATAATAGAAAGTACAAATGGGCAATGCACAATGTGATTGCTCACCACCCACTGACTGCTACCCAGCCCATTCCTGGCCAGCAATCCCAAAATCCCAAGATCCCACAATGGCAATCCTGGAAGCGAGGGAGAGCCCCCCTCTTCCTGGCTGCCCCTCCTTTCTACACTGAGCATGATGTTACATGACAGGGAATATTCCCTTAGCCAGTTTGGGTCCGGTGCTCTGGCCGTGCTCCCTCCCAGCTTCCTGTGCACGTGCACACGGGCAGGACACGGGGAGTTGGAGAGTCCTTGATGCCTCAGCAACAGCTGAAAACATCAGTGTGTTATCAACATTCTTCTCATACCAAATCCCACACTGAATCCAAAGCACAGCACTATTCTAACTACCAGGACCTCGACATTGGACAGCTTCAGATAGCAGACAGGTAGCAGTTTACAGCAGGGCAGCAGCCTAAAGCCCGACAAGGAAAGACAAGGACTGGCAAGGGTTAGGTCAGATTTGACAGCTCTGAAGGATGAAGGTAGTAATTGTTTCCTATGACAGAAAGAGAAACACAGAAAGAGAAACAGAAAGAGGCTGAGAAGAACAAAAAGCAAAGCCAGGAAAAGGAAACCCATTCCAAACACATTTTGTGACTTGTTTTTACCTGACATAAAACAGTAAGTAGGCTTGCTGCCTGAGAGCTGTGTCGATGTCTCAGCAGTTCACAGATGTATCGTCCATCTTGTGTCACCGTCCATTGCTGGCCTGTGAAAAAAGGCATCGATATGTGGAGATGAACTGCGTGGTTTCTCCAGAAGAACACAGGCAGAAAACTACAGAACCAAGAGTACACACACCAAATCAAATCCACTCCAGCCCCTAAGGAGACCTTCTTTCCCAAAACCTTGGCTGCCAGTAACCTTGCCATGCAAATTTGTCTTCCCCAGCACACATTTTTCCCTTCTTTGGAAGGAAGTTGCTCTTAACCTTTGTGTAGCAGTAGTAGTGTCCTTCCTGACAGCTGTCACCACTGTGTACCAGGACAGCATATAAGGAGTAGAGGAGCGGTTCTCCAGTTGTCTGCGACATGTATGGGTGGAGATCCAGATACTCGGGATACTCCACGACCTACGGAGAGACCAAGAGGGCTCCGAAATGATCCTGAAATACTACACGAAATAGCCCTCAAAGAGCAGGGGCCAGAGGTGTATAAAAACATCTCTGGGGCTCATGAACACTTGGTTTTCCCTCAAGTGATGTCTTAGGCTGGCAGGAAAGTGTTGTCGGCCAAAGCAGCTCAGTTGGAGCAGAGTACACGCTTGTCTTCCCACAGGAACTCTCCTCTCCCCAGAAGGAAGCATGAAAAATGCAACATGAGGGCACTGCTTCGGGAAATCCGCTTCAGGAAGAGAAACTTGCACTCCAGTTGTGTACGCATGTTGCTGATCTTCCCATCGGTGAAATCTTCAAACCTTTTCAAACAAAATGTGAGAACCCTGGGCGCGTGGTGGACGGTAAACCTCTTGGTGGCAGCAACCATCTTGTGACACCTTGAAGCCAAGCACAGAGCCCAGTGCTGAAATGCACCCTGCCTTGCCCCGGGTGGCCAGGCAAGCTCTCCTGTCTCACACAGCCTTACGCTATTTTACGGCTATTTAGTACCATAAGGCCATACGAAAAAGTGCTGTGTCTCATTATTGTCCATTAAACCTGTGTGAAAAGGTGACTTATGATGGATGACATGCAGCACCTTCCCGCAGGATCTAGTACTAATATGTCGTTAGTAATCATCTTACTGGCTATTTATCAAGCACATATAAATTATATATGTTTCTTTTCTGAGTTAAGTAATGGTGGCCCATCCACCTGGGTCCAAATTGGTGAAAATTTAGTCAAGTCCAATTATTAGTGTCAATTTCGGTTTTAAAGACGCGTCATAAAAAGAACAAGTCCCCACCTACTATGTTCCACCAATTTAGTGTGGTCTCTGATGGTACGAGGGACCACATCGCCACGCAAGTCCAAAAGACTTGTTCGCGTGCCCACAGACACAAAAGCTATCCGTGCTGATAGACACATTTTGCCAGTTCCAGGTAAGGGTAAAATTTAAGCTGGACAGCACTCCCTTACAAGCTGTCAGACTGCGCCCAACATAGGCCCGTGGGCCAGGCTCTGGGTAGTCAATTTAGACTCCGAAATTTTGTACCACCAATTAAATACTATCAAGTGGTTGGTGAAGTCACTTGATAGGGAGGAAGTAACCATATCTCATCACACTGGGGCAGAGGCCACTTCAGTTACCCAGGAGGGTATCCGGCGGGACCACGGGGAGGCATGACCTCTGCAGCTGAGCCCAGTTAGTAACTATGATCCCGTCTTAAGAGAGTCAGTTACTCCCGCCATCCAGCTGCTTGGGTGTCACAAATTCCTCCAGAGCTGTGGTGACAGATGAGGCTGCCTGGAGGAGTGAGAAAGGAGAGCAGTGACCTGCGGGAAATACCCTCGCCCAAGCACTCACTAGGAGTTTACACAAAAACCCAGCTAGATGACGCTGAGGAGAGCCACTGCGAACCCCCAGGCAGTGTCCAGGAGGAGGCAGAAAGAGGGTATTATGGTCGACATTTCCCTCATTTCCTGGGGATTCCTGGGGCTATCAAGAGCTCCATCCCTGTGCCACCGCTCAGTTCAGCTCCCGATGGTGTGAAGGATCGTCGGTAAGGAAAACAACACAACCCATCAGCCTAGGAGCCAGATGGGTGTTGAGGGAGGGCAAAAGAAAGAGGGATGAGAGTCTATCAAGGGTGCAGTGAGGATAATGGGTGCTTGTCCAGCTTAAAGCCAGCACCTACAGGGAGAGCAGTGCCATGGCCTCCCCAGGAGGACACCGTCCATTCCACACCCCACCCACCACCAAGCGCTCCTGTGTTCACAGTATGCATTTTTAAGTCAACCATGTTCATTCTGGAAAGCTACAGGGGCCTTGGGACGTCTTGAAGCACAGTTGCCAAACCTCTTACTTTTATATCCAGTGGAATATCCAGGAAGGGCTCGTAGGAATCAGAGACCGCGTTGCAGCTCAAGCACGTGACTGGAAGGCAAATCAAAATGGTTGGTGGTAGGGGAAGTCAGCATAAGAACTCATGGGTGTCTTCCTGCATGCCAGGCTCAGAATGTTCTCCTATTCCTAAGAAAGAAGTTAGTAGTTCTCTCCTAAAAGAATGGAAAAAATCCTGTAAGAGCACCTGAAATGACTTACGTGAGAGCACACTGACGACAGCCCAAGGCTGGATGGCACTGCCTGAGGAATACCTGACCTTGTTAACGTGTGCTTCCATCGTGCACATCATGCAGAAGCCTTGCTGGTGACCTGCAGAGGGAGGGAGGGAGGGAGGGAAGGAAGCTTCTCAAGTTAGCAAAATACCCATAGCCATGGGAAACCTGATGGAGATCTTGAAGTTATAAGAACAGTCTCCACTCCTCCCAAGGTGCCAGTGTCCCAACAAGGCCAGGACATTTTAGTGCATAGAAGACATTCTTCATAGGGCCACTAAACTGACATAAGTTTCTGTGCAATAAACAAAGAGAGTTTGACTTGCAGGAATAGGGACCAAGACCCGGGGCTAGGAAGAGGTGCCTTTCTGAAGATGAACACACCTACATAAGACAAGCAGCTTCTCGGCTTCAGTGTTCCAAGAACACCCACTATAGGACTGACAAAGAAGGGCTGCTTTTCTCCTAAATCAACTTGCAGATTCTGGGAAACCCTGGGAAGCGCCCAACCGATTTCCAAGGAGATATTTCATAAAAGCACTCACCTGACTGGCTGTGCTCCCGAGAGAGCAGGTAGCTGGCCAGAGGGGGTGTGTACGTCAGGCACTGCAGGACGGAGTTGAGGAAGCACGTGTTCCCCAGGTTGTAGAGTCCTGCTCCAGCTCTCTGTCGTTGCTGCCAGTCCATGCAACATGCTGGAAGTCCAGCAAACCCACACCCGGATTTCTGTGCGTCGGGCTATCTTCCTTTCCCTCTTGAGTCTTGAACTGGAATGGCATCTCAAGTTTTCTCTTTTGCTGATTGATACTTGGTGAAAACAAGCAAATATCCAGCCCAGAAGGTAACTGTACTGATGTCGGCTCTTTCTGCGAGCAACGACAACTTTCAAAGTCTTGTGCTAGGGGCAGGGGAGTGATAAAATGTGTTTTCCTGTGTGTAACCAGAAACGGGGAGGTGGAGAGTCCTGGATTCCTTAGCAACAACTAAAACCATCAGTATATTATCAACATTCTTCTCATACCAAATCCCACACTGAATCCCAAATCCAGCACTATTCTAGCTACGAAGAAGAAAAAAATTAGCTCTAACCCAGCTGAAACCAGGACAGTGTGGCAGCAGGCAATAAACAATGTAGTATTTTGAAATGCAGGAGAAAAAAACGTCTCTGAAAAGCAGGGAGAAATCAAGGATAGGGCAAAATAATTATTCACAGTTCTTTATTAAAGCAAATCTTTAAATATTTAAAAAGTGATGTTGTTACAGTAGGACAGAGCAAGTGGTGAAGACATTGGGGCTTAAATGGTCACCTGGCCTATTGTGCAAGAAATAAGTGCCAAAGAAATTCTGTCTTGCTGATGTGTATTAATTGCTATGCAATTGTATACTTTTTATATTCTTCATGCAGCTCAGGGCATGCAAATACTTACATCTTCAATGTGAGAAGAGAAATATAACTCTGTGGGTAATCTTTATGCTGCAGAATAACAGGGAGACCAAAAAAAAAACCAAACCCACTGAAAAATCCTGAATGCTATGCAGAAAGCATTTAACAACTTTGGCCTGAAAATATTAATATCAGGTTTCAGTCTCATGCTAATAAAAGCATGAATTTAGAAACCCCTCAAGAATCATGATTTTAATAAAAGCACCCCCAAATATTTTTTTGCAAAGCCAATAGAATGCTCCCTTTTACACAGCACCAGTAAAGATGCTGGGATCCAAAGGGCACTAAGCTGCAGCTGTCAGCGGCCTTTCTCTATCCCCGCTTGCTTCCCCGATCTGAAAGATGCTCAACGTCCTTCAGTGCCAGGGCTGAAACTGCCACATGCCGTCACTGCCATGGTATTCCAACATGGTGTGTTTAAACGAATAGGACTCTTGGGGTAGCATTTGATCTATTGGGTTGTAGGTAAGGATCCCCTTCTTTACTATACATTCCCCCTGTTATCTTAAAGGATTTTTTTTTTTTTGACACCTCTACTATCCCAGACAGAGGTTTCCATGGGGCTTCTGCAGGGTTCCATGGCTGCCTTGGAAGATCCTTGAAAAGCTCACTCCAAAGTCCTGCCACACATTTCAGTTCTGCTAAGCTACTGCTGTTGAAGTATGCAACCACGATTCGGTGACGCTCTTCTCATTAATGGAAAGTGAAAGTCACTGCATTTTGAGTATCTTAAATAAGGCTTCAATAGTCCCTTGAGTGTCCCTGTGTCTGGTGGAAGTGCCGTGTAGAATTGTACCTGCAGAGGAGTGCCAGACATCATGGAGCTGCTCACTGCGGAGCATTCCTGCCCAGCTGCTTCAGCGTTCAATCTTTTATTTCTTTTGGCACACCGGGGCCTTTTTGCTTGGACACCTGATGTCTTGTGGGTTGTTCTGTGTAGTGTTCTGGTTCCATGGGCATGGCCAGCCCGAGTGGGAGCTGCTCTCCTGGCTGCACCGCTGCTTTGGCAGCTGCCCCCGGGCAGCGGGGGGACAAATGCTCCGGCTCCCCAGCTGGAGGCTGGCAAGTTCCCGGGGTGAGGGGGGGACCCCAACGTGTCATGTGAACCCGGCTTCCTTCAGGAGTGGGAAACGGGGTGTAGTGTTTTCTGGCGATATTGTCGTGGGGTTTTTTTGGTTTGTTTGGTTTTCCTTTCATTAGATCTCTGGGGTTCATGTGACCTTTAATAGCCAGTGGGTGGGCTTTAAAGTTAAAGTTAAGCATGTGCTAACTGCTACCCTGAGGTGTAGCTGGAATCCACTTGTGAGCTCCTGTTCCCACCACCCTGGAGAAAGCAAGTCTGGTTTATTTGGTGATGAAGGCAATGCAGGGAGTTGCACTGATGTGCAGTTTTTGAACCTCAGGGCTAAAGTGGCACCGGTCCTACCGCATAGTGCGTCCTTCCCCAGGCTTCTAGAAAACAGAAAAGATACGTCAAACTGACCCCACAAACACAGCCAGCACTTTCTTTATCTGACCTGGAACGTCGGGACATGACCCTGCTGGGCCATCTCTGCCACCCTGTGTGGGAGCCAAGGTGCTGCCTTCACATTCCAGGATAAGGACTTACGTGTTTGTTGTTTTTTTTTTTTTTTTTTTTTTTTTAAGCAACTTCAGTGACATCCTTAGACTGGCCGTGTTAAGTTGGTTCACTGCACAGTTGGTCCAGTGGAGGAAACCAGTAAGCTCTGCTATTGCCTTGAGCATCTTCTCGCTACTGTTTAGCCCATTTAAGTTATCTTCTCGTGACGTGGAAAGCAGAAGCAAACACTTAATTTTCTGCCTCGGTCTAGTATTCACACAAATCAATATTGAAAGTCTTTCTGAGATTTGGATCAGGTGGATTTATAATCTGCTTCTCGGCCACTGTTAACTTCCTACAATTTTATTTCTTCTGTTTATCTCAAGTGTTGAAACTCTGAAAGGGGCTGATGAGTTGCCCTCCCTCAGTTTGCTCCTCCCCTTTTGGGAGTGCAGTTATTGTTCTCCTCTTGGCTTTGCCTTTCTTGGCATTTGGATAGAGTTGACCTGTTCTTGCTACTAGCACTGCCCAGGAAACCCCACCAAGAAATCCCAGCACACTGGAGTAAATGCCATGTCCTAGAATGGGTACGTGTCATTAGCCTGCAGTCCTTCAATACCCAAGGACCTTCCTTCAAATTTACAGCACCAACTTCACAATCTGTAGAATACTCAGTACACTTTAGCCTCCAAGTCAGTTACTTTTGCAATGCAATGAGGCCAAAATTGTTGGTCCTTAACAGTGATGAGCAGAAGAATCATGACCACACCACTTCCCAAAATACTGCTACTCTGGAATTTGCCTACACTGCTACAGCTATTGCTTCACTCCAACTTCCCTTACAAAAAATTCTGCCGTTCTTGTAGCACTTGCTCTAGACACATACGCAATCAGTATTTTCTTATTCCTTACGTATCAAGTTTATATACTTAACTTGCCTTTTTATCACCTCTAGTCAGGTTCCTGATAAGCAATGCAGCACCTTGTCTTGTAGGCACTCCCCTCTTCTCCCCACTCTACCCCCATTAAAAACCACACCGAATCAACCCCACGGACAGACCGTGAATCTAAACTGAAGAACAGGTTCTAGTTTAAAAGCCATCATTTAAACAGCTATCCAAAGGTGAAGTACTACTAATGGTCTTATTTTTTCAGCACGAGGTGCCTGTGAAAAGTTTAAAGATCACGAACAATCCCCTTACTCACATTTTGCCCACAGTTTAATTGCACAGAGAGTGAGCTGGAAGTTCTCTTCATTTGGCTCTGGATGCAGTATTTCATCAGTAGCTCTGCAGCCTCTAAGAAAAAAGTTGAAGTGCAGCAGTTCCTAGTAACGGGTACAAGTCAGTTTTATGCTATCCTGGCTCAATAGCTCACAGTTCATTGTTCAAGCCTATGAAAACAAGTTTGGATTACTTGCTTTGTATTTCCTTAAAAATTACAGATTACACGCAACATTCAGTATCACTCCAGGTAACTGATGCCCTCAGCAGCTTTTTCACAGTTTATAGAATACAATTTTTAATAAGGCCTTTCTGGAGGATTCCAAAAGCTGTTTCTTTCGACAGCAGGGAACAATCAAACCAGTCAGTGTTAAACGGTGAGTAAGTTAGGCTTCAGGTATTTTAAATATATATATATATATATTTTTAATGAATCTCCACAAATTCTTCTCTATCAAATGCTCTACCTATTCATCTGAAGCAGTTTCTATGGTGAACTGGAACAGTGCACACCCCCTGATCAAAGAAACATGAGATACAGGTCTATCTAAACACACAACTCCTTGAAGCATCTCAGTTTAAGCCCACTCGCCACCTCCTCAGATCTCAAGTAGACAGGAGATCAGTTTCTGCAACTTGTACAGAAACCGATGGGTTGTGCCATGTGCATTCTATACCAAGCTCTGTAACACTTTCTTTTTAAAGAAGTGTAAATATGCTTACCATTTAAGCTCCGCATACATCTCGTATCCAGGCTTCAGAGACACGAGTCACCTCTGAGATCAAGATTATCAGAAAAAGTTTGCACAGATGGTCTGGCAAACATGAGATCCATCTTAAGAGGGGAAAAAGTGCCAAGTGTGAGTTCGAATGCTGCATCATTTTCAAACAGCACATTAGTGGGGGAAAAGCTAGTCAAGACTACAGAGTGGTTAACATTTGTATTTAGACCTATGTGACTACAGATACATGTCCCGAGAGATTTACTTGCCAGAAAACTCAAGAGAATTGCTAGAAGTTCCATATTTTATTTACAAAACCGTCACTGTATCCCGCCTTTTTAAGCTAGGGAAAGGAAGGGGGTTTTAAGTTGAAAAGATTACTCTCAATTTCCATCTTCCATTAAAAGAGAACATAAATCATAAAATTAAGATGCAAGTTCAGCCACCTCAACTACACTTCAGCAAAGGAGAGAGCATTTCCTTTCTGCGGTAAGCCCTTTTGATCCCAAAGCATCTGGTCTATAGTAGAGTCTGAGGCAAGAAAATTATTCTGTGAACGTCTGTACCAGAGAGAGGCCACAAGAAGGTCACTGAAGGTCTTGGCGATAGTGACACCAAGCAGTAACGTGCTGAGGTACTACAGCATGCAGGTCTGCGCTCACGGTGTGAGATGCATTCAAGATACAAGGATTCCTGCAGCTGAAAAACCTGGGCAAGAGTCAAATGGGGGCTTTCACTTTTCATCTTCCATACCATTTGTCTCACAACCACTTCATTTTTGATTTGCAACAAAACATTTAGTCTGCTCACATGATCCATACGGTGAGCTACACTATCCCCGTCCCCCTGCAGAAAGCTGGTTTGTCAGAGCTCAGGAGGGTTGGCAAGGACACTGTCTCTACTCCCATGCTGCACAATCCCTGTGACATAACTGCTGTTCCAGTGGGCTACCCTGGCCTGCAGCACAGGCTTAGCAAGAGGTGTCCCTGATGTTCCCGTGCCCGCCAGGCTTCCTAGGGGCTTCTTTTCCTATCAGCTCCCATTTTACTGCAGTGCCTTCTCCTGGGATAGGC